TTCCCCTGACCTCACAGGAGACTCAGGTGTGGAGTGAACCCCAGAGGAGGTGCCCCTGGAGGCCTGGTGGCTGGTTTTATGGGATGCCTGGAGCTGGGCTGACTAGGGGCTTCACTTCCATGGGAGTGAATCCTTACAAGATGTGGGAGCCAGGGGTCATTAGCAACCTACACTCACAGCAGTTGGGCACAGGTGTGCCCAGTACTGAGGTCTGGACAGGACTCTTTAAAATATATATTTTTATTGAGTTCAGAGATTAAGGGAAGAGATGGAAATATCAGTGATTAATGCCGGGGTTCTTTTTCCAGCATTACAAAGGGTTCAGGAAATCTGCAGAAGGCTGTGAGTAGATTAATAAAGAGTCCAGAGACAAAGTATAATTTTGAAAGTCATTTGGGGGTCAGAGGAGCTTAGTTTAAAGGAAACTACAATAAGTTCTAAGATCTAAGGTCTAAGGTCTAAGGTCTCCTCATCCCAGGACCCCATGCTTTTTATTAACACAGTGTGTCCTGAGGAGAGGCAGAGATATACACTTCAAAGGACATATGCAAGCATTGTCAGAATGGAAGAATTAGCCTATGGCTGTTGAGGTGTTTGGCCACTAGGAGGCAATCCAGATGCAGCCCTGCTGTCATGCTGGAATTGGTTTCCTGCAAGTGATGAGAGAGAATTATCCATCAGCTGTCTCCTGCAGGTTCTGTACTGGAGATCAACCCCCAACCCTGGCATGTGCTTTGATTGAGAATTGAACCAGCAACCTCCCAGTGCATGGGAGGATACTCAACCACTTAGCCACACCAGCCAGGAGACAGGTAGATTTATTACAGAGCCCCCGACTCTTTTCCTCTTTATTCACTTTTCTAAAATCCCTGCCCAAGGTGGACCTCTGTCCCCAGGCCCCAACCCCTTCTGAGGCCTAAAGACCCATATTCTCCCCAGAGCTCAGCTTCTCCCCTCCTGACTCAGAGGGGAATCAGCTCCTGCCTGTCATCCTCCAGAACCTGCCACCAGCTGCCCGTCTCACATGTTCTGCCACTAAAACCAGCAAACAACAAATAACAGTTGATTCTTCTGCTTTGCAGGAAAATGAAAAGAACTATTCTACGAATTTTTTTCTTACATTTTTGTCACTTGCTACCACATGCTAGCAAATTATCAAGCCCGAGCCCATTTGGCTCAGTGGATGGAGCGCCAGCCTGTGGACTGAAGGTTCTGGATTCCATTTCAGTCAAGGTCATGTACTGGTTTCGGGCAAGATACCTGGCTGTGGTCCTAGTGCTTGGGGGAGGCAACCAATCGATGTGTCTCTTTCACATCAATGTTTCTCTCTGTCCCTTCCCCTCCTTTCCACTCTCTCTAAATATCAATGGAAAATATATTCTCAAGTGAGGATTAGCACCAACAAAAAAGAGTTAAAATAAAAAGGCAAGAAAAAAAATTGTCTAAGAGCTAGGACAGGCCTCCCTGGGAAGATCTCCACTGTCAGCACCACCGTCCACAACAGGTGCCCGAGGTGGGTTCTAACCATCACGCCTGCTTATAAAGGAGGGACAGGACTGGGGCTGACTAGCCCGAGGTCACACAGGGATTGAGACCCTGAGCTGGGATTTGAACCCAAGTAGGGTGCCCCGGGCATTCCTGCTCAGTCCTTGTGCAAAACTGCCTCTCCCTTCCAGAAAATGCCAGCAACAGCCCAGCTCAGGACTCACTGGGCACGTCAGGGTCTATTGGCACTTAGCTCATAAGCCCACATATGTGTGGTTGGCGGTGATTTTGTACTGCAGACAAATTCCATGATTCTTCGTGGAGGCAGCCTGGGTTTGTGCTGTCCGTTTCCAGGAGAGCTTAGCTACAGGCGTCAGCACTCACTACAGTGCTTCCTCTCCTCACCCCAGAGTCTGTTCAGTGGCGCTGTCTTCTCTATGTGACTCAGAGTTCCCCAGAGTCAGAGCCTGGCGCACACACTGGGTGCTCAGGGGTGTCTATGGGGTGAGTGAATGACAGGAGAAGAATGGGGGCCTAGAGGAAGGCTGTGCAGGACAAGAGCTCCACGTGGCAGCAGTTGGCTGGTCACAGCTGGCCCCCCTCAGAACACCAAGAGCCACCCATTCATTGCACACACATCTAACGAGCCATGATTACACCCTGGCCTCACAGAGCCTTTCATCCAGCAGGCCGCAGTGATGTTAGAGAAAAATAGAAGAGAGTGATATTGGAGGACAGGATTACTAAAGTGGGGACCTGAGGGCCGATGGTCATAAGGGAGATCATTGGGGGTGTGATCAGTGAAGGGGTGGCATGAAGGCAGGACTGGGACCATGGAGACATGGTGTCATGAGGGAAGGCACTTGCTATCTGGGAAGGGTTCTCTGACTCTCAGATAAATGTTTCCTGGTTGCAGCTGCCATGATGGTGACATGGTTACATGAGATTGGCCCAGTATATTTCTGTCCCTGGCACCAAGATCCCAAAGAGCCCAGCATATCCACCCTCAGTGCTTTTCTGGCTTGGAAATCTTTGACTTTCCAGGGCTGGCGATTCTCCCTCTGCTCACATTCTTAGATTTAATCTTCTCCACCCAGTTGCTGAGCTAATCCCATCTTTCCCAGAGGAGACCCACCCTTTTCCTCCTGGGAGGGACAGAAGATGGAATCTCTCCCTTTGCCCTCTAGGGTGGCACTGTCTGCCCTCCAGCTTGTCTCCTTTTAAATTCTAAATTCGCCCAGAGAAGAGTCTTTCCATCTCTCTTCTTTCAAGAAAAATCACCCATCTTTTACATGGCCCTGGGTCATTCACAGGGCTCCATTAAAATAGCCCACCCCCACCCTGCCCAGCCCTGACCCTGCTTCTCATGCTGCTCCTGACCTCACCTCCCTCAGAGAAGCCTTGTGGTCTGGAGGACAGCCACATCCTCAATCACCTTCACCTTGCTCCCTGAGCTCATAATCTGCTATGTCACCTGACATAAAACTTAACTGGATGCATGGACACATTTTGTTTGTTTTCTTGGGGATGATAACACCATTGTCTTCTCGAGGCCGTTTTAACTGTAATGTTCTGATAACTTTGATGTGGACAAAGCCCCCCAGCAACCACGCTCTCAGGTTGTGTTCTTTCCTTTCTAATGTCAGGAACCCATTACACCCTTCACTGTCTCTAAACTATGGGCCATCAGTCAACCTCAGTCAGTATCTGTGGAATGAGTCCATGAGCCAGGCTTCAACCTTGCCCCTCCCTAACTGTTGGGATCCTGCAGGTCCAGGGGTTCCCCAAGGTGTGGACGGAGTCGGTGATGAAGGAATGACACGGAGACAGCGTTCAGTTGATCAGCAGCCTAGCCAGGATCTCTAGCCAGGATCTCCAGCTAAGTTCTGGTGTTTATTGTCTTGTTACATCGGTGTTTATACCAGTTGATTTTAATCCTGTCAATTTCTATTCCAAAGGTTAGGGCGTTTCTTATCTCCATTCCAGGGAGTAAAGATTATGTAGCTTAAGCGTGATTGTTCGTAGTTAAAGTGATTAACTACCCACCTGGCACTTAGTTAAGGGGTTTTATCCCCTCCCTAACTTCAGGGAAAAATCCCTACCTGGGGAAACAACCTTTCTCGGAGAGGTGACCTTGTTTAAAACACATAGCACTAAGGAGAGCAAACATATTAAGAACAATATGCTATATATGCCAGGTCCCTTGAAACATATGTTGTGCAGATGTTTCTTTCCTGCAGCGACTGTGTCAAGCAGCAAGGATGGACTGGCTTCCGGCACCTAACTTTCTCTCAATCCATTTATCTGCAGAGAGGCAACAATCCCTTTAGGATAAAGGGATGGAGACTGAGGGTTCTGATTGGATGTTAGCATTTGAGAAGGTGTATAAAAACCTCAGGCACTAGAGGAGAGATTCAGAGTCCTCCAGCTATGCAGTCAGTGCTGTGGTTCTCCACCAGGTCTGAGATCTGAGCCCCAGCCAACCCAGTCACAGCAGGTGAGTTACCGACCTCAGCTAAGGCAGCTGAACTCACAGTGCCAAGAAACTTAACGCGGACAGAGAGATTTCCCTTTCTTTTCATTTTTTTTCTTTTTTTTACAGACAAGCATATTAAAGGGGTTGATTTTGCCTCTAAGTGTAGTTTTGGCTGAATTTCTAACATTTGGATTCGTGGTTTGGTTTATTTTTAAATGTCTAACCAAGCTGATTCCCTGACCAACCCCCACTTACAAATGAAAACATCTTAACCATGTTTTTATTTCTGAAAATTTTAAATATTCAGTTTGTGTCTTTTGGTTGGTCTGAAACTCTTCCCCAAAAAAAGGCGGGAGTCAGCTTTCATGCTCCTGAGTAACTACTTCCCAGTGAGACTGGAATGAAAGATGTGGGTGCTTCTGAGATGCTTGTCCTAGGGCAGTGATGGCGAACCTTTTGAGCTCGGCGTGTCAGCATTTTGAAAAACCCTAACTTAACTTTGGTGCCATGTCACATATAGAAATTTTTTGATATTTGTAACCATAGTAAAAAAAAAAAGACTTATATTTTTTATATTTATTTTATATATTTAAATGCCATTCAACAAAGAAAAATCAACCAACACAATGAGTTCGCCTGTCACCTCTGACACGCGTGTCATAGGTTCGCCATCACTGTCCTAGGGCCTGCAGGGGAGAGCTATGGCTCTGTGGTCACTGAGCCCAGGTTACTGAATGAAGGTCCTGGGTTCCATATCAGTCAAGGTCATGTACTGGTTGGCGGCATGATCCCCGGCCCTGGTCCGGGAAGAGAGAGGCAATTATGAGAGGACAGACAAAAGACTCAGAAGGAGGGATCACAGGGGAGGCAGATGTTATTCCTGAGCTCATGAGGTCTCTTCAGCGGATTTGAAGCAGACAGTGCCAGAGGGGCTTGCTCTGTGTGTGATTTTGAAAAGTTTCTCTTTTCTTTTTCCACAGGAGGTTCACAAGTCCATAGCCAAGCCTGAAAGACGTGAAGGTCTTAGGTGGTGTGGCCAATGGCGGATCGTCACCCAGAATGGGGGCCCTGCAGACCCTTGAAGGTTCAAAAAGTGAAGCAGCCACAGAGGGCCCAGGTGGCATGCAAGTCTTCCCCACCTGTGCAGGACCATCCCAGGGTGAGTAGAAGCCTGGTTCTAAGGGGGCTTGGAAATGTGGGTGACAGAGACAGGGTTAGGACAAAGCAAGTTCTGTGTCCATAAGTGGGGTGTCCTTTCCCAAGCAGGTCCCCTAACCTAGGCCATCCTCACCACTCTGACTGGTCCCTTCGGATATGCAGGCACAAACTTCTTAATAGTGTTCTGTGTAGCCTGTTTTTTGTCCATAACTTTTCATTTGGTTCTGTATATGAATGCTTTTCCCTTGCATCCGTTCTCCTATGTTCCTTCCAAACTAGCCTGGGCTTTGGGATCCACCCTAATACCTTGAACAATAGCTACCTGGGGAGCCCTCCCTGGTGTGACCAATATTTGACCTCTGTCAATCTGTCTCCCTTCTTCCCCTTTAAAATGTGCCCGTGTTTGAGCTGAATCTCTCATCTCCTTCTCTCCCCCAGGTGAGCTGTTGGAAATGCGGGGCCTTTGGGCCCAAGGCAAGCAGCCTCAGGTGTCCCATGAAGCGTCGGAGTGGGGCCCTAGCCCCCCATGCCCTTGGCTCCAGTGTGATGAAGGAGAGCCAGAATCCATGGACTCCCAGGGACCTGAGGAACCGAGTGCTCATCAACAAGGCTGTTAGGTTGACCCAGCAGAGAGTTCGGTGAGTATCATGAGACAGTGCAGCCAAACTTTGGGGGAAATCTAGGGAGCCCGCACCCATTACCTCTCACTATTTGCATTGCCACCTCCAGGTTAAGACAGGGACCTGGAGAGAGTGAGAAAGCTGCCCGTGGCCTCCATGGGTCACAATCAGAGTTTCCATCCCTCCCTGAGAATCACTGAGGTTGAATTGTGGTGGAGGTGGGGTTAGACATGTTGGATCTCTGCCAAGGACAGGCAGAGAGAGATAATGGAGGGGGAGGAAAGTCCTTTGTGCAACATCCTTTTGTGCCTCCAGGAAGGGGTAGGATCTGAGATGATCAAGAGCAAGTCTAGTAAATGCACAGAGCCTCCCTCCCTGGAACACACAGACACAGGGAAAGGGACTGGGCCATGGGAAGGCTTGTTTCCTTGGGGACAGGAAATGGAGGGACTCATGTCCCATGCTCTGTCTGGCAGGCATGAAGAACAGAGACGTGCTCTGCGCCAGAGATTACCCAGGAGAGCCCCGGGAGGACACCAGCAAAACTGGAAGGACAAGTCAGAATCCTGTGACTACGTGAGGGTGAGTGTCCCCAAGTTCTTGGCTTCTTATTGCATCCGGGTCACAAACTCCCCTTGAGATTCACTTCCTGGTGAGAGTCCTGTGGAGCAGGTTTTGTGTTCAAATCTTTGCCTGTGGGTCTAAGTATACCTGCTGAGAACTGTATGCCTTTCCCCAAGTTCCTTCCCAACTAATATGGAATTCGGCATGCTCCACATCTTAGTAACAGGCACCAGGTGAGCCCCGTGTTTATGTCACTCTCTGTAACCCATATTCCACCTCCATAAATCTGTCCCCGTTTCCTTTCAAATGTGTCCCTGCTTTGTGCTGACTCACTGACCTCCTTCTCTCCCCGCAGGTGAGATGCTGGAACTGCAGGGCCTTTGGGCACAAGGCAAGCAGGTGTCCACTGAAGCATTGGAATAGGTCCCCAGTTCCCCAGGCTATGGGCTCCAATATGATGAAGGAGAACCTGAAACCATGGAATCCCCAGGTCCAGCGGAACCCAGGACACCTTAACAGGGCTGCTAGGGAGACTGAGCAGAGAGCATGGTGAGCATTGTGGGAGGCTGGAGAAAACATTGGGGCGGAATCTATGAAGCCTGTGTCCTTACCTCTACGCTGTAAGCCTTGCCATCTCCATTCAAAGACAGAGACACAGAGAAAAAAAATCCTTATGTCTTCACCAGTCACAATCCCAGTTTCATACAATTCCTGGGCAATCAATGAGTGTGAATAGTGGTAGGGTTGGTGCTGGGAACATCTTTAATCTACAAAAGTGTCAGGCAGAGAGGAAACGAAATAAAGGAAAGTCCTTCATGAAAAACCCAGGTGGGTTCCTTGGGGAGGGGATCTGAGAGATGGCAAGGGCCAGTCTCTGGCAAATGCACTGGGCTTGGCTCCCTGGATCACAAGAAGTGGTAAGGGGTGTGGGCACAGAAAGGTTCACCTTCATTGGAGAGAATAAATGGAGTGTCTCACATATCATGTTGTGTCCTGCAGGCATGAAGAACAGAGAGAGGCTCCTTGCTGGAGATTTCCCTGGAGACCCACTCAAAGGCCCCAGAAAAACTGGAAGGAAGAGACAGAACCCTGTGACTATGTAAGCGTGAGTGTCCCCAGGTGCTGGGCTTTTTATTGCATCAGGGTCACCCTACTTCCCTCCTTGTCTTCTTTCTGAGGGAATGGTGAAAATTCTAGGGGAACCCACATGGTTTCTATAGTATTATTTACTAATTCATTTTTCTTGGTGTCTTTTCAAATGCCTACATGTGCATGTGTCTCAATAATACAGGATGAGGCAAAAGTGGGGTTACAGCATTCCTTTGGAAAATGGTAAAGTAATAAATCACAATACAGCAATGAACTCTGTGTTTCATGAACCTAGAACTGTAACCCTACTTTTGACCAACCCTCTAAGCTGATGGAGGGCATGGGTGTGGTCTCATTAGATGTTTCCACAAGGCACCACCCCTTGCGGGAAACAAGGCATCATGAAATCAGAATCCCTTCTCCCAAATTGCCCACCCAAACTCATTTGTCCCCAAACTGCCTTCACAATAAAAAGCCAAGAAGTGTCCATTCCCTGGAAGAGGCTAGAAAAGGCTTGTTTCCACTTCACTAACAGGAAACAGCTGTGAGAACCTTTGTGTTCTCCCTTCTGATGTGACAAAAGATATCAAGGGGACAGTGTATCTTTTTTCAGACCCAGCTCAAGGATCCATCTTCTTTACATTCATTGATGATTTATCCCATGCAGTCCATATCTTGTCTTAAGATCTTTTTGTCATTGTTGTTGGTTTAATTTTATTTTCTACTTGATAGTGAGAAAATTCTAATGTGTAACATCAGTGTTGCGTCTCTTATAGGATCCACACACGCAGAGACCCTATCAGAACGCCAAGAGGAAATATGTGCAAGATATCACCCCTTGGTCACCGAAAAGGAAACATGTCATGACATGCTCAGCAACTCCCATCAAAGGTGTTGAGAGAAGTGCCTGCTTACCTCCTGTACCAAAGAATGGACAGGAAGGGCCTGTCACAGACTCCCCTCATGCAGAAGGCACACACTTTGTCCAGGATCCCAGCCACAGTGTCCATGAGGGGGACAACAGGCCCCATTCTGCCTTCAGCACCCAGGACCTGGACCAAGCCCTCATCCACCAGCCACAGGCCAAGTTCCCTGATGGGAACTCACACAGCATCCAACATGCTGCTGCACACAGTGTGGGCCAGGACTCTGATCTCATCATCAAGGTACCTGGCAAGAGAGCTGCCCAGACCTCCAGCCAGACCTACCAGAAGCCCACAAAGAAAACCAGACTCAGCCCCAGCCTGAAGAGCACCCAGAGACCAGACCTCCAGCCGCAGCACAAGGGCCATCTCATCAAGACTCTCCAGCCCTGCCATGTGCCCCAGTTCCCACCAATTCCCCAGGTTCGAGGCCAGCCCCTCAGAATGGTCTTCACGACATTAGACAAAGGCCAGTGGAGCTCCAGGTGCATGACACCTCCATCCCTCCCTCCTGCTGAGATGCTCACGGCTGCTGCTCAGATCCCTCCCACCACTGAGAAGTCAGAGGCACTCTGTCCCTGTGTCTCCTTGAGCATCCTCCTTGAGGCCCTTCAGCTGTCCTCTTCCTCGAAGAAGGTGATGGCCAATGAGACACTCCATGTCAGGGAAGACATGTTCCTCAGCCCCAGGCCACTTGGAGTTGCCTGAGGAATTAGAGAGGGGAGATCACTTGGAGAAAATGTTTCTGGGGAATCAGAGCTTCCCTTCTGTGCTGTGTGGACAGAGGGTGGGAACTCTGATCAAGCTTGGGACACAAGGGCTCAGTTATTGGACTTTAATTACTTAGATGTAGTGACATTTCAAGTGGTACTTTTATAATATACTGTAGTTCGTGCTTATTGAACTGGTAAGGAAGTAGAGTTTTAGAATTTTTCATCCATTGTATGTAAAAGTAAGTTAAGTTGCAATAATTGCCCTTAAGTCTAATGGAAATAGGAAGCTTTGTAATGAATCTGTATCAGGTGTGAACCTGTCTGCTTTGGGGATCCTGGGGCAGGGCCACCTGTGTGCTCTGTAGATTTGAAGCAGTGCCTGTGGTCCTGAGGTGAGACTGTTTCACTGTGCTGTGTTATTTCAATGGAAATCAGGACAGGGACCCTTCCCATGACTTTGTACCTTTTGTTTATGGAATGTCATATTAAAGTTCTGTTTTATAGTTAGTGTTAGATATCAATAAAAGTCTGCAAAATAGGTCATGTTGTGATTGGTTTTCATTTTTGTACATTTTAAAACAATGACTGTGCCACAAAGCTCACTGAGAGTAGATGGGAATATGTACTTTGAGGTGGATTAGCTTGGGCAACACCTGCAGCTCCTTGTATAACCCCTTCTTCTCAGTCAACATTGTCTCCTCCCTATGGGGCACTAACTGCCTTTAGGGCCACACCCTCCAAAGGTGTCCCTCTCTTGGTCTTTCATGAGCCACAGGGTTCCTCCCTGGACATCTCAGTCTCTTCCTTTTCTACCCCCACCCCAGGAACAGTCCTTGATCTTTACAACTTCAGGTTTTATTCATTTCAAACCCGCCGGATTCGGCCCGCAGGCCGTAGTTTGCCCACGGCTGCCTTAGAGACACATTGAAATTCACACTAGAGGAAAATTATGTGAATGTGAGAAAGCCTTTAGTAATGCCTCCATCCTCAGATGACACTGGTGAGAAATAATTTGAATGTCATCTATGTGGGCAAGGCTTTTTGCAAACATCTGAACTTAGACATACAATCTAATGCACAGTGGTGAGAAACCTTATGAAGATAGTGAGTGTGGGAAAGCCTTCAGTCAGAGTTCTTACTTGAGACAACATGAGAGAATTCACACAGGAGAGAAACTATATGAATGTGTTGAGTGTGAGAACACTCTCAGTCCACATGCTAATCTCAAAAGACACCAGAGAACCCACACTGGACAACAGCATATGCCGGTGATGGTGAACCTTTTGAGCTCCGCTTGTCAAAATTTTGAAGAACCCTAACTTAACTCTGGTGCCATGTCACATATAGAAATATTCATAATTTTTTTTTATATTTGCAACCATAGTAAAAAAACAGATTTATATTTTTGATATTTATTTTATATATTTAAATGCCATTTAACAAATAAAAATCAACCAAAAATATGTATAAAATGAAAAAAAAAACCAGAAAAACAATGTACATTTAGGAAAAAATAATAATAATAACAATGATAATCAAATGGTACTAAACTAGAAATTAGTGACTTTTTTGGTGCTGAAGTTTGTCTGCTAATTCTT